GGCTTTATAAAACCCAAAACTCATTCTTTTGATAAAACAAGTGGACATTCAAATGGGGCTTTTGCAATTCAATTTAAAAGGTTAACATTAACTTTATTTTGTTTAGAGCACTTTCATAAATATTTGACATTGCACAAGATGACTTTATCTGATCTCTCATCGAGGCGCGATCTTCCCAACGAAAATTGGGAGCTAATATCAGAAAGGTTCTAATCACTAAAGACTAGATCCTAGAGAAATATAATTTCTAAATATAAGATCTATAATGGGGTGCTCACCTGAAGCTCAGAAGTGACGGGATGTCACACCACCCCAAATGATAGTTCAATCTCAAAGTTCGTATTTGACATCAGGATAAAGTTGACGAGCTTTTTTTATTCATATTATATGTAATGATTAATTAAAATCATTATAAAATTCGTATTTGGTTATACAAATGCAAAACTTATAATATTATTTATATAAAATAAATCACACACACACACAAACATATATATTATAGCCATAGATTCATTATGAAATGTTAAAATTTACTAATTCTTTAATATGTTCTTTTTTGCTCAATTTACAATTTTCAACTAGTTTATTCATCTAGTTTTTACCAAACCTAATTAGTGTTGGTGATTTTAGTGTCACCAGGCCATTTAAGTGTAATTGAAAGTAACATCGAGTTCTAGGACGAGTTTTATATTGTGTTCTAATACAATTGAGGAGGTGCGGAGTGCACACTTGTTATAAGACGAGTATGACTTTGTTTGGAGTTTAGGGGAAACTTGTGGTGGAAAATTAATCATAAGAACCATAGGGGCTCTGGTCGGCCTTGCCTCTAGTTGATTAAAGACGACCTTGAGTCAGTTGTTAAGAACCAGAGGCTCTGGTTCCTTGCCTCTGGTTGTTATGATGCAGAGGGGCTTTGGTCTTCTTTGCCTGGTGAGACCAGAGGCACTGGTTCCATGTCTCTGGTTGTTAAGGACCAGAGGCTCTGGTTGGTAAGACCAGAAGCTTTGTTCCTTTCTTATGATTGATAAAGACTTGCCTCTGGTTGATAAGACCAGAGGGGATCTGGTTCCTTGTTTATGATTGTTAAATACTTGCCTCTCAACTGCAAGGGTGGTGCCTGATTGGTTTGAGCTTGGTTCCAAAGGTCAAAAATACCAAGAGGTCCTAAGTTCAAATCCAAGGAGGAATAAAAATCCTCTTATGGCCATGGAGGTTCAAATGCGGTGACTCCGGAGCTATCTGCAAAGCAAAAGCAAGGCCAACCAAAGATCTTATAGTCAACCAGATCCCCTCTGATTCATCTATCTAGAGCCTCTGAGTTAAAAAAAATGTTAAATATTTAAAAATTTTGAGTTCTAATTACAACCAGAGACCCTCTAGTTAAACATGAAGATCAACCAGAGCCCCTATGGTTCCTTTACGATGGATTGAAATATTTTTCCAAGGTTCAAATAACTAAAAGTAAAGCCATCAAGAAGCCAGACCAACCAGAGGGGCTCTGGCTTACAAGACTAAGTCTAAGTCTTAAAGACTTATCTTTAAAGTCTAGATAAGTTCATTACAAGACTTGTACTCTTGAAATAACTCTGAAAATAAAACTCTTCCGACTTCAGAGCTCTGTATAGGCAAGCCAGAAGCTCTGCATGCACCATGCAGAGGCTCTGCATGCTCTGCATGCACCATGCAGAGGCTCTGCATGCTCTGCATGGTGCTCCATTTGGAAAAGAAGACTTCAGAGTTCGTGTGAGCTAATTCTGAAGAATGACTCTTCATACTTGTACTCTTGAAATAACTCTGAAGTATAAAATCAATCTGACTAAATCAAAGTTCAGACTTCTAAATCTGACAAAGAAGACTTTACAGTTTAGACTTGAGAGTTCGGGTGAACTAAGTCTGAAAAAAAAATACTTCAAAATTCGGGTGAGCTAACTCTTGAGAATGACTCTTCAGACTTGTACTCTTGAAATAACTTTGAAGTAAAACTCTAAAAAATGACTTCAAACTTGTACTTTTGAAATAACTCTGAAGAATAACTACAGACTTGTATTCTTGAAATAACTCTGAAATATAACTCTGAGGAATAACCCTTTAAAATAACTCTTAAGTATGAATCTTCAGACTTGAATTTAGAAATGAAACTATATCAATAATTAGTTAAAATGAAGTTAATTCTAGAAAAAATTGAATTTAGAAATGAAACTATATTATTAGATTGAATTTAAACTTACAAGTTAATTTAGAAGGACTCTTCAGACTTGTCCTCTACAAATATTTCTGAAGTATAACTCTAATGAATGACTTCAGACTTGTACTATTGAAATAAATCTGAAGTAAACTTTACAGAATGACTTCAGACTTTTATTCTTGAAATAACTCTGAAGAATGACTGTTCAGACTTGAATTTAGAAATGAAACTATATCAATGATTAGTTAAAATCAAGTTAACGCTAGAATAAAATTGAATTTAGGAATGAAACTATATTAGTAATTTGAACTTAAACTTAGAAGAGCTCATGTGTCAAATCTGAAGACAAAGTCTGAAAACCTTGAATTCAAAGTTATTCAAATACACAATATCTTTGAAAAAGACCCTATGGTAAAACTTGCATCATAAAGAGCAAGGAATAGGGAACTTTGGACTCACCAACCAAAAGCAAGGTCAACCAAAGGCCCTCTAGTCAATCAGAGCCCCTCTGGTTCGTCTATCCAGAGCCTTTAGGTCAAGAAAATGTTAAATACTTAAAGAATTTGAGTCCAATTACAACTAGAGACCCTCTGGTTAAATATGAAGATCAACCAGGCCCCTCTGGTTCTTTTACGATAGATTGAAATATTTTTCCATTGTTCAAATAAACAACCACAAGCAAAGCCATCCAGAAGGCAGACCAACCAATAGGGCTCTAGCTTACAAGGTTATGTCTAAATCTTAAAGACTTATCTTCTAAGTCTAGATAAATAAGACTATCTCAATATATAGTTAAAATAAAGTTAACCCTAGAATAGAATTGAATTTAGAAATGAAACTATATCAATAAATTGAATTTAAACTTAAAAGTAAACACCATTTTTTTCGGGAATCAGTTACCACATGAATTAATTAACCCAAGAATAAAATCAACTGTATCCTAAACTAGTGAGATTGATTGAATAAAAGGACACGTGTCAATCAAATGAGTCTAATTGAACTGTTAATGTAAATTGTGTCTAAATACGTTCAATGAGTCTAATTGAACTGCTAATGTAAATTGTGTCTCTATACTTTCAATGAGTCTAATTGAACTGCTAATGTAAATTGTGTCTAGATACGTTCAATGAGTCTAATTGAACTGTTAATGTAAATTGTGTCTAGATACGTTCAATGAGTCCAATTGAACTGCTAATGTAAATTGTGTCTAGATACGTGTTTAAGCGGGAAAACACTAAAATCGGCTCACCAGTATATGAAACGTGTCACGCCAGTTACTTATTTATTATAAGTGTGTGTGTGTGTATATATATATATATATATATATATATAGGAGCGATCAATTGCAAACCACCTGCATTTGTGAAAACCTTACAAACCAATCTCATCCATCAATTTTCTTGATCAATGGTCAATATTAAATGCGTTTATATTAGGAAATAAAAAAGAAAATGAAAATAAAAGTTTAATTTTTAATTAAAAAAGGGCAACTTTGTCAAAATTTTAATTTGTATGATTTTATAAACGAGGTAACAAGATCGTGGATATCCTAACATTAATGAAAACAAAATATTGTTTTAAAATCTCTATATATCATTTTATCATTATAAAGATTTTAACCAAAAATGTTAGAATAATCTGACAAATTATATGTTTGATAAAAATTATCTTCATTTTATGACTAAATATTATAAATAAAATAACATCCACATTAAAAACATACTTTAATCAATAAAAAAGAAATGAAACCTTTTGAATACTAAAAGAAATATTTCGTTTCATTAAATGAATGAATGAAACTATTTCACCGTTTATGTTATAAATTCACGTGACTCCGTGTCACCTACAATGAAAGATGAACTATTTGACATGTAGTAGTGAACGTCTGAACGATATATGAAACTATTTCATTAACGGTTATTGAAGTAGGATTAGACTCTTAATAATTTCTAATCAAACTAATTTTAAAACAAGAGATATACTGAGAAACGATGAAACAAATAAAGAATGAAACATTTTTGAAAATTGAATGAACCATTTTGAAAACTGAATACTTTATTTTCGCAAGTGAAACTTTTTCATGCATAAAACGTTTTGAAATATTAATAAATTAAATTAATCAGTGAAATAGTGTTCATGGTCACTATTGACCATGACATTCGTTTCATTACTCAAACTACACATATTTTTTTAATAAAATGAAATCATATTTTATATTGTAGTGTTTTTACAATTCATATTTTAATAAGTATAATTTAATAAAATAATAAAAACTATTAATGGTAAAAAATTATATTAAGAAATTTTGATTTACCACCTTCTATATTAAATGTTTCCATTATTATGAATCTATAATTAAGAGTAATTATTACCTTTCAATATTAACCATTATACAATCAAATGAGCATTCTTATTAAAATTAAAGAAGAAAAAACGGAATTTTCTTATTGGTCGAAAATAGTCTGCATAGTTTTCATAAATTTGTATGTCTGGATAAACGGGTGTTGTCGTTTACTTTTTTTATCTGAACCAACAGTCTGAATAACATAAATAACCGATTTACCCCCCAATATTAATTATTTGAACATCAAAACAAAAATCATAAAGAGGCCGAAGATGGGGTGTCTCGTATAGGAAGGAGGTCGTGATTTGAATAAGGGGTAGGAGAGTCATTTTTGTGGTTGAATGGAAACAACACACCAATTCTATCTGTGCGATTAAGCCGTAAGTAAACAACCCAAATAAGTTATACGAATAAGCCACATAGACCAATAAGCCTAATTAAACCACAAGTAAACAGCGGCTAAGATTAGGATATGCAAGGACGTAAAAGTTGACATTAAGATTAATGTGTTTACAAGGACCATAAAAACAATACCAATCACCACACATTCAGTTGAAGGCCAGGAAACATTCAAAACCACTCCATTCTACGTTTAGTGTTTTATTCTCATAAAGCTTTGGCAGTACCGTAGGACCACCAAACAGAAAGCCAAGATAGTAGAAATAACCCATGTGGAATAAATCGACATAAACATCGTTATTACGGCCACCGGCCAGTCACCTTTTTCAGACGAAACGGGTTAGATACTCGTCGACAGTAGTGTATTTAACATCAGGATAAAGTGTCGAAGCTTCCACCCCGAATGATGGTTCGATCTCAAAGTTTGTTTGATCTCCCTTCACAAAGATCGAGTGAGAAATTGATAACACCACGTTGAGTGGAACCGGAGATTCTGCAAAATAATGAACAAAATGGTTTATTATTTGTTAGAATCCCAGATCAGCTAGACGGACCAATTCTTTTCTAGATAGCTGAAACACACACTCTCTCTCTCTAAAAGGAATCTTTTGGAGAATAATCTGAAAGGGTTTCAAATATTCTTACAGTATTGAAACAATTAACTTATGATACCTTGTATGTTCTTCAAAACTTGTTCTTCTGGAAGATGGACCCGCTCCAAGGTTTTGCCGATCTTTTTCTCCCATAAAGACACGAGCTCGTTGAATGAGTAACTGTTAGCGGGGGGTTTGATGTACACGATTTTATTCAGGGTTCTTGGGTCGTCCACGGTTTTAATGGTGTAGGTTCCAATGTCATGTTCGTCATTGAAAACAACTGTGATTGATAATAGACGATTAATTAGAAATAGTTCTTGAGCAGCAGAGCATTAATCTATTGTGAAAGTTCGAAAGAAAATTGAATTTAATTACCTTTCGCATTTCCATCGCCTAAGATGACAACCTTGTCCCTTGGTGGAGCCGTGGCTGCTGGCTGAGCCAAAGTTGGAAGGAAATAACCGGCAAAACAATTGGACGATACATAGGTATAAGGGATTCCTTCAGCTTCAGTGGCACGCCGGATCTGAGCCTTGATTGCAAAGGCCGTTTTGGCTGGCTCCACGGCATTAGTACGGTCCACATCATTTCCGAACTCAGATGGGTAGAATTTCTTGATCATATCAGAATTAATGCATCAACAAGATCAAAGTTAGATAGGTAGCTCCATGTTGCTCTTTGCTTTTTGAAAACACCATACCTATAGCTAGCCTACATGTTTAAGTATAGTTTGCACCCAAAGAAAGAAAAGAGAATAAGAGGCACCAAAATTATCGTAAAATGTCCTCAAATTCACCCATATCAAGTAACACCAAGGGTTATTACTTCCTTCTTGTACCCATTTTGTGTAGGTAAATGTCCCCTAATACAATCTATATTACTATATAGTATTTGGAAAATCTTTGGGAGGTTGACTGGAATTAGAACAGATATGTTCATCCAAGAAGTGTTGTGGATAGGGGAGAAATTATACAGCCCCAAGTTCAAATCATGTTCAATAACTTTTAATCCAACTTAAAACCATGTAAAGTTATAGGTAACCCACAACTTGAGCTCTACAACAAGCTCACAAATCTCATATTCTATCAGATGATTTTTTATAGAAATTATAACAATGTAGCAGGCTTTTACATCATTTTGTTACAGCATATTCAGTAGATTTTCTAAGATAGTGAAAATTGAGAATTTTGTCTCTCTCTTTTAGTCCAGATTCTCTGTACCTAAATCTTAATATAATTGAAATCCTAGGCCTAGTCTAAAACAGAACTTGAATTCGGTTTAGTAATTGTACTACAATCAAAACGGAACGAGCAATAAAAACTACGAAACGGAAAAGTTATGATTCATATACAGACCTTCACGTTACCAGCTTCTTTGATGGCCACGATGATTTTACCTTGATCTCCGAGTTGTGCGTGACCAACCGTCGATATCACAACGTCTACCTGCTTTATCGCCTTCACCAGACTCTCGTGATCGTACAAGTCCCCCTGCAAATTATACACACAAATAACATGATCAAAACGAACAAATTACGAGGAATTTCCCCGTAAAACGAAAAATGAACTTCAATTCTATGCATGTTTCAATTAGCAATTACAAAAAATTAAAACGATTACGACTCACAGTGATGAAAGTAACGCCGGATTTCTTAAAAGAGTCGACCAGGGAGGATTTGGAAGGATCAGATAGCGTAGATTCCCTGACAAGGAGGAAAGTAGGATGACCGGACTTCGCACTGGCCTCGACAATGAATTTTCCGATGTAACCGGTTCCTCCGATGATCAAAATCTTACTTTTCTCCGCCATTTTTCTCTGCGACGACGAGATTCCGGTGATCGACGATGTTAGAGAAAGGAGCAACTGAGTTGAAATCGAGTGCTTTGAGCATGCAAGAAGAGTCGAGTAGTTATAATGGCAGGAAGTGCAAGAAGCGTGAATTTGCCGTAGGCCCCTTTACTTTTGATAATTACACATAGATCCCTTAATTTTGGATTTTATTTCAAAACCAGAAAAGTAATTATGCCCGTGAATCTGTCCGGATTCATTTTTTGGTTCCATTCCATCCCTCCACGGCTCCTCCACCCACTCTAAATATAGCAACCTTTTTATTTAATTCTTACTTTATTTTTGATGATTTTTAACTTGTCTGCATTATATTATAAAATATTAGATAAAAATTCTTAAATTTTTTTTATGCTTAAAATACTGTTTATTGATGTATATTATTTAAAATTCAAGATTATAAATAATTTTACTTAATTACAACTTATTAAAGTTTTATTTTTAAATTCGTATAACTGATTATAGATAAACATAATCAAATATTGGATAAACATTCATTTTAAATATAAAAAATTTAAAATATAATTAAGATAATCTTTGAGTTCTAACAGAATGTTTAATTATTATCTTTATACAAAATATATTATTAAATCAAAAATAAATTACTTTTTCTAAATTAAATTATAATAAAAAATTGAATTTAAGAAATTATAAAAAAAACGAAAACTATTAAATAGTTAATTTGATACTAATATCGATTTATTTATTTTTCAAATTTTTATGCTATGTTCAAATTTATATTTCATTCAAAAATAAAAACATTACCACTTTCTCAAAACCACATAAAATCGTATKATATCGATAGAGACAAATAATAAAAAGTAAACATTAAAATGAAGATTTATCTCGCTGCATTGCGTGAGTACCCTTCTAATATGTCTTTAAGACAAAGATTATATACTTCTTTAAATTTCACACACGGGTTAGGTTCACGTGAGACCAGTCTGTTTTCATGAGACTCGTAAGACCATTTTTTTACACTTAAAACTTCACAGCAAAACTCTGTGAAAGTAAAAAAGTCGAACTTTCACAGCAAATTCACAGCGTGTAAAAAAGTGGTCTCACGAAAACAGACTGGTCTCACATGATCCCAAATCTTTCCCACACATTCATATATTTAATTATATATGTTTTTGTTTTTATTTGACGTATAATTGTTAGTTAAAAAAAGTTGTTTAGGTCATACCAAAATGATTTGAAAAGTTAAAATGTCACAATTTAACTACGAATCATATTTAATGATAAGTTAAAATGCTAAACAACTAAAAAATGTGTTGATGTGTTACTTAGGGGTCGTTTACCTAAATCTTTATCCTGTAAGTGTTTAACGTTATGAGTCAACACTATAATTTTATTTTATTGAGTGAGATTGTAGTACATCAAAACGTATCTTATACAACAATTTACCTGGTAAGTGTTTATCTGGGTAAGAGTCGTTACCCTGAGGGTAAGACTCTTCATCCTTATCATTGCTCTTACCGTATAAGATTTTTTGCCCTTGTCATATTCACCCGGTGAGAAAAATTACCCAGTAAGTACTTACCGGGTAATCGTTTAGTAAACGACCCCTTAATACGTCAAAAATAGTTTATATTGAAACACATTAACACAGTTTGAAAAACAAAAATTAACCCTATTTTTTTTATAAAAAAAAAAGAAATTATATTGTTTTAAATAAAAAATTCATGTCCTAGAATTAATCAGCTCATGTAACAGGTTGGATATCTAGGTTAATAAAAAAATTGATTATTATTAAATGATAAATATAAAAGTACTAGTGTAACAGTACTATTTTTTTTTCTTTTTTTTTTTTCGCATTAATTGAGGAGATCACTAGTTAGGCAGGGTATAGTAGTGTTGGTCAAACTGGTATGGCCTGGGACCGGCGGAGGACCGGTTATAGGACCGAAATCTGGGACCGGTTATGGATTTGGAGCAATTCATGGGACCAGCCCGGCCCGGCCCAAAATTTCAAAAAAGTAGCCTTTTTATAGCCGTTGTTTTGGGTTTTTTGGCTTCTAAACACTAAATATGTTTCTTAGTTGAGGCCTTGAGGGGTTTATATACCAAGTTCTCAATTCGCAAAAAACGTAAAAAAATGTTCACAATCCTCGGTTAATATAAATAAATAACACATTATACGACATGCGATAATGATGATGATTGATGAATAAATGTATATTCAAATAATTTTATAATATATTTTTGTAAGCCAATGTAATTTTAATTATAATAAAATGCATTTTAAAATGTATTTGAGTGGTCCAATTACAAATTTTATAATGTATTAAAAATGTATATTATTAAAAAAAATAAAAAAAAAAATTTTTTTAATGGCCCAACCGGTCCTGGGACCGGCAGCCTGTAACCGATTACACTATACCTTAACCAGGTTCACTCTTCTCGACCGGGACTGGTTATGGCCGGAATTGTTGAGTCCCGGGACCGGTTTTTGGCTATCACTAGGATACAGTACTATTGTTTTTTTCATGTCAAGATTAATATATATTCGGTTGCACATCTAATAAATATTAGAAAAAAATATTCGTATAATGCAGCGAGATACATTTCGATTTTAATGTTTCTTTTTTGTCTCAGTCGATGTGATAATACGGTTTTATATGGTTTAAAAAAAACGATATTTTTTTAATTTTTAAATAAAATATTAATACGAAAATATATATCATAAAAAAATAAAATAAAAAGATTGATATTAATATAAAACTAACTATTTAAATTTTTTCCTTTTTTGTGTATTTTTTTAATTATTTTTTTATTTTTAGTTTAATAATATAATTTTTTATAAAAATGATCACTACCAAAAAACCCACTATTTCCGGCGGCCAAATCCGCCGGAAATCCGCCGGAAAAAGTAATTTCCGGCGGATTTGGCCGCCGGAAAAAGGGCGCCGGTGATTGGTTTTCCGGCGACGTTTCCAGCGGATTTTCCCCGTTTCCGGCGGATTACGGCCGCCGGAAAATCTTCGCCTGTTTTTTTAAAAAATCTTGATTAACTTAAGAAGTAAATAAAAAAAAATTTAAAATTCCGGCGGAATATTCCGTCGGAAATCCGCCGGAAAATAAATATATTTTAGATATTTTATAATTAAGTATTTTGTTAGGACTCAATAATTATTCTAATTATATTTTAGATCTTTTATATTTAAAATGAGATGTTTATTCTCTGTTTAATTATGTTTATCTACAATTAGTTATACGAATTTAAACATAAAGCTTTAATACGTTGTACTTACGCACAATTTACTTATCATCTTGAATTCTAAGTAATATGAATCAATAAACAGTACTTCATACATAAAAATTGATTTTTAAGAGTTTTTGTCAAATGTTTTATCATATAGTATAGATATTTGATTTTTTTTTAAGAAATATAATTGATTATTTATAAAAGTATAAGATGACGTTCACTAAAATTAAAGTGACGTGTATATGACGTATATAAAATATAGAATCTAGGGTTTACACAAAGCTAAATACTACGTTATTGAACTCGGATCGAAAAAAGTATACCAAACTCGAGTTTGAGTTTGATTAATTTTTGAATTATTGAGATCGTACTTGATGCTTGTTTATGGGATCGAACTTGCGATCGGTTATCTCCATTATTGGTTCAAATTCGATAATTTTTTATATTTTTATTTGTATGATTTATGAATATATGAGAATATTTGACCCGAAAAGTGTATGCTCGAATAAATCGGGTCGAATCGACTAGACTTGAAAGGTTTAATCGAGTCCTCAATTGAGCAGAGTCGAGCATTGTTGTTACGAGGCTCCTTAAATTAAACGAGTTCTATTTTATGTTCAAGATCTTCGAGCTCGATATTTTTTAAGTTAAAACTCGAATAGCTCGTTAAAAACTCGGATCGTTTACACCCTATTAGAATGCAACGATAAGACATTTTTTTACAAAAAACTTCATATAAAAATAAAGTAATTCGTTCTCATTGGTGGAAATAAATTAAAAAATCATTTTTCTCTACATGTATTAAGTTTTAGAAAATTATATAAGGGTAAATTGAATGAAAAAATAATATATTTTAACTTGATTTCTATTTTGTTCCTATTTTGAGTAACGTACTTTCAAATTTCTATTTTGGTACCTAAGATGTAAAGTTTTAAACATTTAAGTACCCGGGTAACCGGTTGAAGCATTAACCGGTTACTATGCTGGTCTGACGAGTGATGAGATGAAATTGGGTTGAATAACAAATAATACTGAGTTGAATACCACATCACTCGCCACATCACCATGGTAACCGGTTAATGTTATAACTGGTTACCCGGGTACTTAAATGTTTAAAATTTTAGATCTTAGGTACCAAAATGAAAATTTTGAAAGTAATTTACCCAAAATAAATAGGAATCAAATTAAAGTACGTATTTTTTCATGCAATTTGCTCTACTATAAACTGAGAAATATTCTAATGTTTTCTCTATTTTGGATAACGATATAAAAAATAAAACCTCTATTTTCTATATTTTACAGAATCTATTGCGGGTTGGGTTCACGTGAGACCAATAGTTTTTCGTGAGACCCGTAAGACCAATTTATGTTCATTGATCAACTTTATAAGCTAATGATCTAATGGTCTAAAGTTGAACGGTGGAAATTTTGTAAATATTGAGAAGTCTCGTGACAATTTTGTGATTATATATGTTCAGATTGTAGATCTAATCCAAAGGTTGAAAATTGCTCTATAAATGATAGTCTGAAAAAGCCAATGCTTCACAATATTGGCCAAGGCATGATACAATGCAAGTGACATGGAAATTAAATCGCTTAGTGAAGCTACGCAACCAAGCTGCAAAGATGGCGCCACGTTACGTACGACTTGGAGGTTGCCTGGAGGAGGTCGTCTAAGATGGGCGAGTTGGTCTAAAGGACTTATCCTTAGTCCCCTTTTTAACGTATGACATCATAAGCGACCTCAAAGTTGTGTACGTGGTCATGCAGACAGTAGACCACCTTCTGGGTGTGACGTCAATCACATTAACATGTAAGGATTTTTAAATAAATGACTGGGCTACCACAAGGTATAACTGGTAATTAATTAGCTTATTAATATTGGAAATTGTACTGTGTTAAGAAACCGTTAAACAATGCATATGGTATAAGGTATAATTGTTTGCAGAGATGGACCTAACTTTTTTTTTCAATTACTGGCACCATTTGATTATAAGCTACGAATATTCTTAACAAAGTAATCATTGGTCTTTTTTTTATTAACCTGGATATCCAATCCGCTATGCGAGCTGACTAATCCTAGAGCGACCACCTGCTTTGCAGGTAGGGATGGTGATTTGGCCCGACCCGGTGGGGAACCCGGTTCACCCGACCCGGACGGGGACGGGGATTCCCCGCTAAAACGGGTACCGGGGCCGGGGCCGGGGATCCCCGATAGAGGCAAACCGGGGTTGGGGCCGGGGCCGGGTATTGTATCCCCCGACCCGCCCCGTACCCGGTAATATTGACTTAGGCTATTTTAATTTTCACATTTGGGCTTTGGCTATGGGGACTGGGCTTTTGTTTCCTGGACTAAGATAGTCCATTCCAATATTCCATCCAGGTTTCAGCAATCCAGCCCAAACTCCATACCCTCCATTGTCCATTACAATATTTCATTCCATCCAGGTACTTCCACCGCCGTTCCAGGCCTCCCTTCCCTTGACCGGTTGACCATCCAGGTACGCATACGGCAGACCCTCCCTTGACCCTCGTTGCCGACTCGCCGTGATTGTTGTTGCCGTCGACTAGCATCACATCGACACATCCACACAAGACCCGCAACAATAATTAATTATAGTCGTCTTCTTCATCGAGTAATCGACAACCCTAGCCGTTTCTTCATCGAGTTGCAGCAGTGAGCCACAACCCACAACCACCGGTATTGGTAATCGAGGTCAGTTTTTTCTCTTTTCGTCAAACAGTAACACACATTGACCGGGTATTGACCGGGGTTTGACCGGGGGTTGACCGGGGGTTGACCGATAGTTGACCGGGGCCGAAAAGAAAATCCCCGCACCCGCCGGGTACCGGGGCCGGGGCCGGGGACTGTAGATATAAACCGGGGCCGGGGCCGGGGATTGCAAACCCCGCCCCATCCCCGCCCCGTTGCCATCCCTATTTGCAGGTAGCCCGAAGTCACCGCATTTGAACCTTCGTGGCCACAAGGGGATTTTTGTTCCTCATTGGATTTGAACCACAGACCTCCTGACACTTTTGACCTTTGGAGCCAAGCTCAAACCAATCAGGCACCACCCTTGATCTATTGTTTAGTTTCTTGTTTTTCATACGAAGGTCTTGGGTTTAAATCTTTTATCCCAAATTTTTTTTAGGAACATAATAAATTTGAAATCAAAATCTAAAAACTAAGGAAAATATATAAATCATATTCAAACCCGTGTCTAGAAGAGAAGACAAGACAGTGTAAACCAACTCTAATAAGCAAAACTTTTGTTATTGTTGTAGTTTCAAAGAATATAAGGTTGCTGCTTTTCATGACCCTAAAATTTTTCACACTACAACAGTAGAATAAAGCGGTGGCCCATGCCAGTGTGCGACCATATGCACTGTCAATTTAATACAAATGTGAATTTTCTTTTACAGTGTGGATGGTTAGGTCGAAACTGATACAACATTTTCTTAGAATATAAATTGACCAGATCTGTATTCTGTATTTTCCTAATTGAACTATCCTATGATCTTTTTAATTAAATGAGTCAACTAGCAAAAAAATGTAATTTTATTAATAATTGGCCCTGTGGTGATAGTGTGTTTCTGGGTCAGTTTATGTGTAGATTGTGACACACTGGTTAAGTCCATGTTCGAATCCATACGTTTATCAAAACTTTTGTAGCTATGAAGGTTCATCTACAATGACTCAAGCGGAAAGTAAATAACGTAAATTAAATGATGAAAAGTAAAGAACAATCTTAAAAACAATATAAACTTAAATTTCTTCAAGGTTTAGAGAGAGAAACCAGCTTTTAGGAGCTGATTTTGGATGCCTCAAACAAGAGTCTACTCACCCCTATTTATACAAAAAGAAGTCATATAAAGACAAAATGGAGACCCAAATGATAAAACCACAAAAGTTAACCAGGAAGTACACATCTATGTACTAGTTAGTTACAATATTTCTAACAGAAGTTTAACTATATTTACACCAAAAGTCAACATCTCCAATTGTTCTAGAAACCAAAAGGAGCCAGCAGCTTATCCTATTAAGATCTTCAATAAGCCAAAAAGCATCAGGTCGCGACTGCATCAATGCTGTAGCGTCAAACAGTCAAACAATTTTTTATATTATATTACAAATGGTGTAGAAACAAGTAAATCACATAGTTTAGCTTCATAATTAATAGAAGGGAAAATGAAGTAATAAAATGACTCAATATAGGAATACAAGAAAAAAAATTTAGTTAAGAACTTGCAAGTGAGTGTTCTATACATCAAATTCTCAATGTATATCACCGACCCCGAACCCCAATTAAACCCGATACCTGAAACCTATAATTTTCCGCAGGTAAGTAGGATCGGGTCGGATAGCCGATTTCGGTCCTCGACCCGCCCGCCAACCTAACAACAAATTAAAATTTTCCCATAATAAACTACTAACTTGGTCTCTCCATTATGCAAATAAAGTCGACTTCTCTCACCATTTAGGCAGTACATATTACATAATAAATCAAAGTAGGAATCAAGAAAAGACTAGTTAACAACTAACTCATCTGTTAAAGTAGGTGGGACAGTGATTATGAATTATTTCATCGTTTTTGATTAATTTTGCAAGAGGAAGGATAATGGCACCCATAAGGCATTTTAATGACACCCCTAAACCTATATTAATCATTTGTTTTTTTTGTATATTTTTTGTGTTTCTATTGTCTTTTCTTTTGTTATTTAATTACTTGTAATGGATTCGAATTATTAATTAACTTTTTTTTTTCTTTTCCTCTTTTATTACTTTAATTAATAATAGAAGAGTACTCGTGCAATGCAGCGAGACACATCTCGATTTTAATTTTATATTTTATTATTTGTCTTTGTCGATGTTATAATACAATTTTATGTGTTTTTAAGA